AGTGCACAACTCAACAAAATATATAACATAGGTCTAGTATTTATACACATCCTAAAGTGGAAATGTTACGTATTATATCTTTAATAAAGTTCCCTTTTATCTATTTTTTCTGTCTCACCTGTAATTCCTACCTTACATACAGAGGTGTGTTTTAGTAAACTGCTTCTTCAAGCACAGAACTGAGCGATAAATGTTTGTGATAGTAGAAATTTTGATCTATGAAAAGATTTATTTCAGTAATTAGTCTGAATGAAACGGGCTGGCAAAATGATTGAAAAATGTCTGATTTAGTCTGTTCCATTTCCCATTGTCTCTTAGCCTTCAAGTATGACAAATTACTCCTCTGCTTCTCTTGTCCTTACTTCTGCAATTTTATTTTGCTTTTCCTCTCTCTCTCTCTCTCTCATTCCTTTTTCTCCCCCCCCCACCCCCCCCATCATCATGCCATCACTTCTCTTTCCCTCCCCTTCCCTCTCTCAGCTGCTCCTCCCAGCTGTTTAATCACACATGGCTCATGCCTAAAAAAGAGAGAGAGAGGGAGGGAAGGAGGGGACAAATGGGAGGAGAGACAGAGCGCAAAAGAAAGAGTGGGTGATAGAGACACGGAGGGAAAATGCGAGCAGCGGGCTGAGTGTGAGGCACATGGCCAGTGAATGAGAGACCTTTGCTTCCTCTCAGTGCGAGCTCCTTCTCCCCACTGTCTCCTCTCTCTGGTTGGATTACTGCTGAGGAAAGACCTCGTCTGGATACTCCTCCTCTTCTCCTCCTTTTCCCTCTCTCCTCTACCTCCCGCCCCTCTCTATTTCTTTACCTCTCGCTGAGGGACTCCAGCTCTCTTGTATTCCCAGATCTCACGTCTCTCTTTCTCCTTTCAACCCCCCTCTCCCCTGCTTTCCCCCCTCAGGATGTCGTGTGAGGAGGCTCAGCTCCACAAAGAGAGGCTGCAGGCCTTGGCGGTAAGTCGGAGTGTGTTTTAAACCATTTTCTTTTTTTTATTTGACCTTCTGACTGTTTGTTTTGCTGTCTGTTTGTCTGTCAGTGACTTAGACGGCCAACCCCTGTCTCACCTTGACTCTATCCCTTTCTGTCATTCGCAGTACAATATCTCGCCTAACTGTCTGGCACCTCAGAGTTGTTGCAACTCTTTCTTTCATTAGTTCCTCTCTCTCTCTCTCGCTCTCTCTCTCTCTCTCTCTCTCTCTCATTCTCCGTCATGCTCTTGTCACATTATTCATTCATGTTCCATTCACGTTAGTTCAAACACATGTAGAGGGGCGGGAAAAAGTGTCTTCAACAGTTTTTGTCTCTTTGCCCCATACCAAAGTTCATGTTTATTGAACTCTGACCAATCTGTACGGCGTAAATACAACGGTAGAGAACTGTAAAGCTTGGTGACCCGTTGGGTGAGACTTAAACTTAGAGCAGCAGTGATCTGACCTGCTGTATTATAATGGTTCTTAAACCAGTTACCTTTATGAACTTACAACATATGGACCCAAACAGAAGTTTAGATACATTTTCCCCATTACAACTGACATCCAGTGTGCAATTTGTGTTTCTGCAGTTCACATTCTTCAAGTTAGCTAATGCTCGCCCACTGTAGCTTCTATGGCGGGAGGCTTAATGCCGACGAAAGCTAAAATAAACATTGTTGAATATCACTTTTTATAATCTCGTCATATTGCTTTTTGGTCGTTTAAATTAAAAAGTGAATAAGCTTATTAATGTGAGAGCTCTACAGCATGACATCATAGCCTCCTACACCCATTTTCGCCACAGAAAACAAAGTGATTTTTGTTGCACCCATTGTAGTGTGCTTTACTCCTCCACTAGCCTTCTGTCCTCCGCTGCTGCTGTATTTGCCTTTCTGTTCGTGTCAGCTTTCATCTTATTCCATGTCTTTTTTTATTTGGGGGGGGTGGGAACTCTGGGGGGGGGGGGGGCACCTCAGAGGAAAGTTGGTGGAAAATCAGTTCTTTCCGTTTTTTTCTTCTTGGCCAGATGTCTGAGGTTTTTAGGTGTACATGCTTGCCAAGGTAGAAGGATCTCAGCCCGCGAGGTGGTCTCGAACATGTTTCGATACTCGCCGTTATGTTTCATGATCACTGAAGCATCTGTTGGAGTGTTTGGCTCGGGGCTGGTAGGACTTCAGAGCAACAGTTAGCCCCGGATTCACTGCCCGGGACTAAATTTGGCGCCAGCTAGGAACCACAGCATACCACACACACACACACGCACAGAGGCACAGGAACACACACGTATACGCATTCATACACACAAGTGGTGGAACAGCGGCAGATGGAGAAACTATTTTGGCCACGTTGATCATGGCAGTCGTACCAGGCTGCATGTACTTTAACCATTCAGGCACTTAAGTGAAGCGAGAGTGGAAAGTTCTCACGATTTCGAATAGAGAGGAACAAGCATGTCTGTGTCTTGCATCATTCTTGCATGTGTATTTGGCGAAACAGTACAAAATCATCGATTATGTGTAAGTGAGTTTTTGTTTGGTGCACCAGGCCAAGAAAAACTGCAATATTCTGGTGGCAGCCGTTGTAAACAGTACAAAGAATGCTCAATCCAGTGTAATTCTTCCCTGAAGTGCTATCAGAGATCCTTCTGTAAGTGCCAAGAGCTTTGACACACATTTAAAGTAAGGTCAGCCGGTGACTAGAAGTAAATCATTTGAGCCTATTTGTCTCCTCCAAATAAGCATCTGTCTTGTCTCAACTCTGTGTGTGCACTATATCAAAGACAATAACAGCGCTAATAGCTTTCAAAGCCTACCAGGCACTTAAATAGAGAAGGGTTACTATTACACTAATAGTACTAACAACTCTCCGGCAGCTAAGCACTCTCTAAGCCGCAGACTCAGCCAGCCAACGCAGGTCCAGTGTAAATACAGTAGCTCGACAAAGTTTCCCAGAGTATCTCAAAGGGAATGGGAAGGAGGTTATAAATCCTCCTCCATCAAAAAACACTCGATCAGAATAATATAAACTGCCCAACACTAAATTTGAATCCATCTGACTGACTTTCTGAATAAGCATTACTTGAACCCCTGCAGAGAGGTGTACACACACACACACTGTCTCCGGTCTGCAGCTGACATGCTAATGATTTCATCAATAATTGATAGTCTGAGATTTCATTGTCATCACCATCAGTGTCTGCCTTCATCAATACTTTAGCAGATCTCGAGCCAAATTGGAAGCTTCCTCTAAAATCAGAGCCAAGGGTTAGACCAGCCGTGTCTGTCTGAGCCGCCAGAACACACCGAGTCCGACACCGACTGTAAATAAGATGTCACGTGGACTTCAAGTGGACCAAAAAAAAGGTAGCAGACAGCTGTCATTATAATGGCTCGTGAATAAAGCATGGCACTTAATGGCTGTGAATTACTAGCCCTCTGTTTTGAAAGGACAACATACCTATCTGCTTGATCACAGCAGTTTGATTGAGACAGTGAAGAGAGAATTTACAGGACTGGACCAAGGCATTTTAGTCTCTCTACAATGGCTCGAAACTGGAATAACTTAATTTCATGTTTGATTTGTGAAAATGGCCAAAAAATAAAATCTGATTATTTTCAAGCTTGGGGGGCACATTTCATGATATTAATACATAAGTTATGTTGCACAAATGCTAAAAGATGAAAACATGAAGATGATATTTCTAAGGTCCCTATGCAACAGTTTCCAGAAATGTGACTTTAGACAGGTGTTCATGTATTTATTATTTTTTTAGTGAAAAAAAATTCTAATAACCTTATTTTCACTATTTCGTACAAGAAAAGAAAGACTCAAATGAATTGTCATAATTTGTCAACCAGCTCTATAAAGATCCCATACTGCAAGCACGCAGTATGCCTGTTTGTCTTATGATTTCATTCCTATATATAACATTTTCCTCTTAGTGCTTTCATATTTCTTGTTAATTATTGAAGAACCAAGAGAGCAATGAACATGGCATCTCTCTGCTCCTGCACAATTTATTTACAGTAGTTTTACTGCTGCATCTCTTCCCCTATCATAACATGTGTTAAACTTAGCTAAACTACATTTACCATTACTAAGATGGCTCTTTTTTAAAGTTTTGTCAAAGTTAGTGCCATCCAAAGTGAAAAAAAAATGCATTACCGATTGGTTTGTTTTTTACATAACAAGATTTCTTAAAGCGTTAATCATTCGGTGCAACAAGGAGAGCGGGACATTTACTGGTGTCTAATCTAAGAGTTGAGTAGTCAACTGCCTCGTTTGTTTGATCCTCACGGTCTGATAGTGATTACGGCCTGTCAGCTGCCAGTGGTGCAGGTTGCCATGGTTTCTAATTGGTCAGATTAGGGAACAGTTGTGATGTCATGTTGTTAAATCCAGACCTGTAATTGGTATATTATTAACATGTAATTATAGCAGTCGGATGGAGTACAGCCTGGTCAGGGTTCGTTAAAAAAACTGATTACGTGTGTGTGTGTGTGTGTGTGCATATGTATGTCTGTGTGTTGTTGTTTTTTCGAAATTCGTGTGTGTTCACCAAAACCCTGTGTGTGGTTTTGAGATCAACCAATGAATGATGAGCGCTTCATCTTTCTAATTAGCTGTTCCCCATGCGGCCTGCCAACCGCAAACGGCATGGCAGAATGCGCACGTACGTGTGCGTGTGTCTTTGCATGCACTCATTCATTCAACTTCTCTGTAGGGTCTGTGATATGTTTACACAGATGACCTCAACCCTTTGGACTCTCAGCTGCCCCCTGACACACATACACACACACTGAAACACACAGATCGTCTGGGGCCAAGTCTGAGGGGAATTAGGAAGTGGTGCGTGAGGAGTGAGATGATGGTGGTGGTGAGTGTGTTTGTGGGAAGAGACAGAGAATGAGGAGCTGCTGGCACTGAGAACAAGACAGAGACTCTCAGGGACCAGAGATATTTCATTTCCAAAAGATCTGCTCAAACTATAAGATAAGATAAGATAAGATAAGATAAGAAAACCTTTATTTGTCCCACAATGGGGAA